CGCTGCCAAGAGCATTGCGCGGGCGGCAGAGTGAGCGAGCTGAGGCTGCGAGGGAGGGAGGAGAGCGGGGAGGGACCGGGGGCTAGCCTCCTGGGCCAGGAGCTCTGGGGCTGGGCAGGACGGTCCCGCGGGCTGGATGTGGCCTGCGGGCCGTAGTTTGCCCACCCCTGGTATAGCAGGATGTATGGATGGAGCCTGGGGGTCTCTTACTCAGGTTTTTCAAATTAGACACCAAATTTTATGTATCCTTTGAAAATCTTGGCCCTAGTTATCTATTATGACTTAATATGATATGTAATATGACTTTCCTGATTATAGTGGCTATTTATGTATTAAAAACCTTTAAAAAGTTGCCCATGTCATAAATGTATTACAAAATATAAAGAACAACTTTTCCAATAGTGACACAAACAAAGATCCATACTGCTAATGTAAGGATAATTAAAATAAACACAAATTAGGGTAACTATTGGTCTGTACCCTGAAGAAAAAGATTAACAGATTTGGACTTTGGACCGAGGGAAGGGGAGCGGAGCACACTTCCAAATTCAGGACCACTTCCAGAGAATACCCTGTGAGGCGCTCCCTCCCATTTATAGTGAGGATCTTCAGCTCTCATGCCTCCATCTTCCATTGATCTTAACTTTGGGAATTTGGCATCAGAGAGTGGCAGTCTCAACCAGTGTTCCCTTTAATTTTTCCTACGCATGTACGGAATGAATTTTATGTGTACCACTATGGAGGTGATCACCTCCATATTGGTGCATATAACAAAATTCATGTGGTGGGGGTGGGGCCGAGAGGTTTGGAGTGTGTGTGTGAGGGGAGGGGACGGGACTCAGGGCTGGGGCAGAGGATTGGGATGCAGGGGGAAAGGAGGTGAGGGCTCCAAGGTGGGGCCGAGGATGAGGGGCTCAGGGCTGGGGCAGAGGGTTGCGGGGTGTGTGTGTGGGGAGGGTGAGGGCTCCAGCTGGGGGTGCAGGCTCTGGGGTGGGACTGGAGAGGAGAGGTTTGGGGTGCAGGCTGCCCAGGGGTTACAGTGGGGAGAGAGGACTCCCCCCAGCTCTCTCCCCCTGCAGCAGCACCTGGGCTGGGGGAGAGGGGCGCTTCTCCCCTGGGCATGGCAGGTCCATGCCAGGGCTGAGTTGGAGCCAGGGGAGGGGCGCCTTTCCCTCGGCAAGTCCGGCAAGGCACGGCAAGTCCAGGGCAGGTCTGGGTTGGGGGTGGGGCGCCTCTCCCCGCCATGGCCCGGAGCCCCTGTGTGGGGCTTAATAGGCAGCTGCGCGGCCACGCAGCTTAGAGGAAACTTAAGTCTCAACCCTTTTGTGACTTAATAAATTATCATCACCTGGAATTCAACATAGGAACATATTGGAAGCCAATGCAGATCCCAGAGCGCTAGAGTAATGTGCTCCCAATGTGAAACATGGCCATGACATTCTAAGTTCACCTCTTGTACTAGATTCATTTTAAGAATTGTCTCTGTTTAGTCCCACATACAGTGCATTAAGCAACCTAATCTTGTGGTTTGTATAACTAGCAAGCCCACATTGGGGGAGAGGGGAGGCAAGGCACATGAGAAAAAAATTAATCGCGCTGTTAAACAACAATAAAATACCATTTATTTTAAATATTTTTGGATGTTTACTACATTTTCAAATATAGTAATTTCAGTTACAACAGAGAATACAAAGTGTACAGTGCTCACTTTATATTTATTTTTGATTACAAATATTTGCACTGTAAAAAACAAAAAAAATATTTTTCAATTCATCTCATACAAATACTGTAGTGCAATCTCTTTATCATGAAAGTTGAACTTACAAATGTAGAATTATTTAAAAAAAAACTGCATTCAAAAATAAAACAATGTAAAACTTTAGAGCCTACAAGTCCACTCAATCCTACTTTTTGTTCAGCCAATCACTCAGACAAACAAGGTTGGTTACAATTTGCAGGAGATAATGCTGCCTGCTTCTTGTTCACAATGTCACCTGAAAGTGAGAACAGGCCTTCGCATGGCACTGTTGTAGCTGCTGTTGTAACATATTTACGTGCCAGATGCGCTAAAGATTCATATATCCCTTCATGCTTCAACCACCAGTCCAGAGGACTTCCTGTGTGGTTATAGCAAACTTATTTTTATTCTTGCTTTAACAGTAAAAGGAACATAGTGTTATTTTTGTCCAGCTTTCCGTATTTTGAGTTATACGGTATGGCTTTTAAACCCTTCTTACAGAGATAATGCAGAGAGCACAACTGTAATTATGTAAGAAGGCTTCTTGTTATACAACCTCTCCCCACAGAACATTAAGGGTTGAATTCTGGCATTAGTACTGTTATGTTCACACATCAGTGAATGAGCTTGTGATTTGAGATTGAAGGTTCACAGAACTAAATACCTATAAAGATAAGAAACCATAGCTATGTTAATTAAGGAGTAAATTTCCAGACTGTCTGGGTGGGAAACAAATTAAATTAGTGATTGGCATTATCTGTGGAGATTCTTTCAGCAACATCATTGTCTTGCCAAATAGTTTTAATCCAGTATTTGAAAGATGCATTCTAACTAGTATTTGAAAGAGGGATCCACTTACTAAAGAAAGTCTCAGAGAAAAGTAAATCAGTGATTTAAAGAGACAGATCTTAAAATCGCCCCCCTAGCATAGATGTCAGCAGTATTGATTTTAATACATGCCAGCTATTGTGGGTTTTTAATAGTATTTTATTGGTTAAAAAAAGCTGAGATAGTATGTGCAAAAGGATGTCAGGCAGTATAATCAGTCAGCAAAAATGCTGTACAATAAAACATGGATCATAAACAATTCTTGAGAACCTTGCATGTTTTCTAAATGTGGGAAGACAATAAATTGAGACACTAATGTTGTGTCTACACTTATGGCGGTATGTAGAGTCCAGACTGCTTGCACAGCTAGTACAGGTATAAATAGCAGTATAGATGGTGGGGCATTGCTTAAACGAGTGGAGTACACACATGCCAGAACATTAGGGTCTGTACCCTATACGGTTCTCTACGTGCCCAAGCAATGCGTCCCATGTCTGCACTGCTATTGTTAGTGGAGTGTCCTGCTGCTGGAGCCTTTTCCTGCCACAGTGAAAGGCTTAGGCAGCAGGGAAAGATTCTGGTGGTGGTGAACGCTGCGCTGCGCCGGGGCGGCAGGAAAGTCTCGGCGAGGGGGTGGCACTGTAGAGAGAGGCTCTGGTGGGTGTGGTGTGGTGCAAGGCAGCACGGAAAGTTTTGGCAGGGGAGTGGGTGGGTGCCACTTGCAGGGTGGAGGGAAAAGTCTCTGCCTGGGCAATGGGGAAAGGCTCTGGCAGGGAGGATGGGGTGGACGCTTTGCCCAGGGCTGTAGGGAAGGGCTCCCCGTGCCTCTCCCCACCAGACCCTTTAACTGCCACATGTATCTAAACGTCAGCATGGACGCAGCCTGCTTTTCACTGCAGTGTGTAGTTACGTGTACCCTACATGCCACTGCAAGTGTAGGCGAGCCCTTAGAAGAGGAGCAAATCAACTATGCCTCTGATGCTAGCCTTGGAAACAAATTACTTGCTCACGTTGTCTGGCCAAGAAGAGGAGTGGGAAGGAGGGGACAGTTTCCTCATAAACCCTGCCATTGCTCACAAAAGCCATCACACCTCATTTACAGTTAAGAACCCTAGTAAATAGGATCTTGCAGCATATTTGGAGATCTTTTCCTACCAAATAATCGAGTTTTGATTCTGCTGTTTTTTGTTAATCTCTTCAGGTAGAGAGCTCAAATATTGTAAAATTAAGATAGACTTTTATGACTTTGCTATTGCACTACTCCACCAGACAGGAGTAGGAATTTTGGCTAAATGGGACAAAGTCCCTGGGGAATAAAACAAGAACACTATCTGAGCCTGATTCTCATCCACACAGAGGCCCTTTATGTTGCTCTGGCAGTGTGAAAGGACACTAAAGTGGGGATAAAAGTAAAGCAGGTGTAGTGTAAATGGAATCAGGACTCATGTAATTTTAGCTCTCGGAGTCCCACCGCTATCGATAACGATGTGACCAATATTTATGCTCTTCTTTTAAGTTGAAATGCTAAATCTGGGGGGAAAGGCAGTAGTAGCTCCTAGTTTAACCGTTATTGAAAAGTTTCAAATAATGTACACATCAAATAAAAGGAAACTATGATGTAGTGTTGACCCATTTGGAAATAATAGAAATGTCTAACTGCATTTTGTTTCCTCCCCTAAAATTCTACTGTATTAACACTACTAAAAGTATTGAAATGAAATCTCTCCATTTTATTTTAGGGAACAAATAAAAAGAGTTAAAGATTCTGAAGATGTCCCCATGGTGCTAGTAGGAAACAAATGTGACTTACCTTCCAGAACAGTAGATACAAAACAAGCTCAGGACTTAGCACGAAGTTATGGAATTCCTTTCATTGAAACATCAGCAAAAACAAGACAGGTAAAGTTCAAAACAAAGACACACAAGCAGAATTTCAAGAACTGAATCTTGAAAGTACCAGAGCATTCAAAACTCCAGCAACTGCCAAATTTTGGTGTTAATGCGTATTTCTCTAGAGGAAAATTTGTGGTGTTTTGCCATTCTGTGGACTCCCAGACAACTGGTACTCATTCACTGATCAATGATGCATTTCAATAGTTCAGACTTCAGGAATGAGACCCGGGCCTCTGTTGCCTTCAGCTACTACGCAATAGCATATTTCTTCAAGTTTTACTTGATTTTAATAGTTTGAGAGTGTGTTTCACTTAAAAAAAAGACAGTGTGAAGGACATGAATCACTTTCTTAGTGAAGGTGTTCAGCAGTCAGACAATTAACCAGAGTTCTGAGCTCTTGTTCTTGGCTAGCAAAAAAGTGTAATTTATGCTTAGAATCAGAATAGGGCTATTGAAGGAAAGAAGCTGTCTCAAAGGGGAATGTTGTTGCACACTGCCCAGGTGGTGGATTCATCCCTACACCAGTGGGTAGAACTCCTTAGAAATCCATGTATAAATTATTCATTTTACACATCCACAGAATGTCCGGATTAATCAAATTATGCTATTTTGCCACTACTACCCAGTTTTCTGACCATCTTTAACCTAATGGACTAACTCATGCAACTTCTAAATAGAGAGTAAAATTCATTGAGAAGAAAATTCAGGAGTTCTAAATTTGGATGTGCAGTAATATTTGGAGCATAAACCTATGTCAAGGAAGATTCCAAAGTCATAAAACTTTAGGACTAGAGGGTAAACTAGAAGAAGTGTCTTAAGTAAGCCAAGTGGCATACAAACTGGCTGAATAAATATAGAAATTACAATATTCCTGTCTGGGAGGTCCTGCGTGTGTCTCATTAACAAGACACTAGGTAGGACAAAAATGAAAAAATTAGGAAATAAACAGCAAACCAATACTGCTGTGGACTATTAATTCTGTACTATCATTTAGTGTTGTAATTTTTTGTTTTACTTTCTTAAACAATGATCTTTGTTACAGAAATCTACCTCCCCTTTCCTTTTCCAAGATAGCTTTTATAGAACCCATTGCTAACATGTTTGAAATTACTTCTTAGGAATACATTTCAAAACAGAAACATAATTAACGTACCTAGCCTTTGATTTCTTTTCGTCTTACCTGATTTTCTTTTCATGCTTGCCTGATACAAAATTGCTTGTTCAATCACCATTCAAAAATCTGTGCAGTTTTATCTTTGCTTAAAATTCAGTTTAAGAATTGACACAAATCTATTTGATATTTGATTTTTTACCTCTTAATAGGAGACTTTTAAAGAGCTTATGCCCAACATTCATGTAGATTTTAAAAGGCAGTATACCAGCCTGATTAAATACAGATGAAATTGCTTTTCCATTGTCATATTTGAAAATCTTGGTCAGATAGTACTAATTTTTGGGTGCTTAAATTTTGAGTATCCATGTGAGATGTTTTAAAGAGGCCCTGAGCATACATCCTTGGGGAAATAAAGCCTCTTTAAAGGTGTCTTGAATTTGAAACACAGAAATTTAGGATCCAAAATAACTAGTCACTCTTGGAAAATCTTGCCTTCTAGGAATTGAATCATTAGATTTTTATTTTTATTTTTGGTAAATCAACAATATAATTATAGATTAAGTACCTTCTTATGGAACCACAATGATGTGGTCTCAAACACAGAAAATATTGTCAAAAGGGAATTGGATGAAGAACACTGTCTTTAATTTTACCAAGATGCTACCTTTAATGTTTTTGTGTGTGTGTGTGTGTGTGTGAGAGAGAGAGAGAGAGAGAGAGAGAGAGAGAGAGAGAAATAGGGAAGAGAGAGACATTCTCTCTCAAAATAACTCTTTTTAAATGAGGGGTGTCAAACATATATAGCCTCTGGGCCACATCTAGCCCACATGAAATATTCAGACTGTGTAGAAGTTAAGCTTTCATTTAAGAGAGATTTTTAATCCTCGTGGTTGCAAAGACTACCTTTCAAACATGAACAGACTCTAAGTGATGCAGTGATGTCTTTTGGAGGCTGCAGAAAGCCTGAAACAATGAGGTAGAAATTTCCCACCCCTCTCTTAATCTCATTGGTGCATTTTCTCTAAAGGTCAATGATGACGCTTCAACATTAACTATTTAATTGCTGACTATTTTAGCAGATAGAATGAGGGAAGAGGCTGAATGTGAAGCCCCAGGGGAGCTGGGAGTTTCTGAAGGGAAAAAATATAGAGTGGAGCAGAGAGGGGAGAGACAAAGGGCTTATCCATACAGTTTTTGTTGCAGCTGCAGGTATAAACCTTTATGGTGATATAAAATTGTCCATACTAGGGGGTTGCATTAATTCTCCACTTCATTTTTGGTGCCAGTTTAGTTTAAATCAGCACAAATACTATATAGAGAAGGCCAGAGAGATTTTTGAAAGGAGGGTAAGGATAAGCAGGAATAAGAATGGCCATAAAGGTGTGCATATTTTTTTCAAAGTGATATTGAATGTGACAACAAGGTACTTAACAAAAAACTGAAGATTTAGTTACTGCAGAAAGGTCACATTCTCCAATTTTGTGCCAACTTCACATTAAAATCAGCAGGAGTTCTGCAGTGGGATTGACTCCATAATTTATATCCCTGTTCACGGACCATAATTAAAAAAAAGAAATTTGGCCTTCTGCATCAAATAAGTCTGACATCCATAAATAACATAACATCTTGCCCTCTGTATTTCATTTTTTGTGTGTTTGACTTAACTCGTAGAATCAATTCAGCCTTGGCATATGAGGAAGCAGCTCCTAGTGAAATCAAAAGGAGTTGCACCTCTTTAAACTAGGGATGATTTTTGTTTTTAAGGCTAGATTTTGCAACCATTGCAAGTACTTTTTTACCTTTTATAGGAGATGCACAAAGAGTAACTTCAGGACTGAGCCCAAAATGTGTTTGAACCTAGGGTTGTACGTTTTCCTTCTGTGTTACTTAATTTCTCTTCCAACTCCCATAATAGTATTTGATTAAAAGGAGAGTGTGGGTGGGGGTGTATCTGTGGGTGAGAATTCCTTGAATTGTAACACTAGCCACAAAAGGCTTGATTTATTGTGGAGAATGCATATTTAGACAGATTTTGAAAACATTTTATTTAAGAGTTGATATAAATGACTAATCACTTGTTTTTTTATTTTAACTGTCTGTTGTATGAACACATAAGTCCCACGTAGGTGAACCCCGGCTCATACTGGGAGTTCTAGTGAAGTAAGTGGTGTTCCATTTATAGGACTCCACTTGTGCAGTTCTCACTGTCAGGTTAGGGCTGTAGAAATAAAAAAACTTAAATATAAAAAATTGTTACTTGAACCAGCCTGCCATTTGCAGGTATCATGCCAAAGATCTATGTAAAATAATGGTACCATATCCATGTATAGTATGCAGCCATTATATTTTATTATGAGGGACTGGTAGCATGACCTATTAAGGTTGCCCCACACTTCCCTTAAGGCCCTGTTTTCAGTTGCTTGTAATTTTTTCCAACTTCAACTATTCAGTTAAAATTTTCCATGCCTGGTGTATGTCTCAGGTTGGTGTTTTTTGGGGGGAAACTTCAGCCAAAGTAGTTCAGACATTTCTGAGAATAAAGCTAGGGCAAAATACATTGTTTTGCTCATGTTTAAAAAAAAAAAAAAAAAATCTAGTGAGCATATATTTGTAAAGCTCAAAACACCCCCATGCTTTGGAGCAGGGACTTGAAATTTGGGAGATGGTGACCTTTGTGTCAGTGATTTTCCTGGAATGGCACCTAAGATTCCTGAGTCTTGCCATTCCTTTGCTGTCAGCACATATCTGTGAAATCCACTGGCAAAAGGGGTATCTCATTCCCCTCTAGTGCTGGTCCACAAAGAAGATGACATCGTACTACTGCTAAGTGGCAGAGGTCTGTGTGGTGGATCTAAAGGTTCCAACTCTGCCTATGACCCATATAGGTGCCAGGGTATACATGGCTTTTTTTTTTTTTTTTTTTTTTTTCCAATTTGCTTTTTTAAAAAAACCTTGGAAATCACACAAAACAAAACATCCAAACACTATTAAAAGAACACGATTAAGGCTGCAAAGTCAAACACTCATACGTTAGGAACCTTAATTTGTCCCCCTTGTGTGTATGGATTTTGAGACAATCTTTAATTACACGATCATGTATTATATTTTTCCCAAAGGCCCCATGCCTTACTCAGTGCACAGGATGGATGGTGGTCACTTAATGAGTAGCTGTTTAATATTTTGTTTTATCTTCATTGTTAAATTTGTGGCCCTGGGCCTTATTTGCTGTACACGTCTGAAGACAGAATTATTCATTTTCTCATGGGCTTCTTATGGCATTCATCACTATACCATTTGAGTGCTTCACAAATATTTATGAATTTTACAATACACCTGTAAGATGAGGGTGCATTATTTATCACCATATTACAGATGAGCAGCTGTGGCCTAGAGAGATTAAGATCAAAAGTACTCCACTAATTCTGAGTGTTCAGTTTGCAGGGTGGGTGATTTAAATTAGTGATTCAAATCACCAATTTTAACCATGATTTAAATCCACAAACAGGAAACCAATTAAATAGTTAATTTTAATCTTGGTTTGCATTTGTTCTCTCTGATTATTTTTCTAAAGAAAGGTTCATGGTCATCTGTTGGTAACCATTAAAACATGTTGATTTACAACTACATAGAGCCTTTACACTAAATTTTTTCTTTTTTTAACCAGGAGGATACACTGTATCTATATGTATTTATTTAAGCATTTATATAGCTTAACTGACACTCAAATTCTCAATTTTTACATTTTTTATTATGTTGGAAAATGGTGAATGGTTAATTTTTTTTACTTGTGTTTTGTGTCAAGATCTACTTGGATGGACATTAAAAAAAATTAATTAAATAAAACTACCTTAAATGTGCTGGATACATAAACTTTTTCTTATGAAAGTATTTT